GACAGCCTGAAGTAATCTAGTGGTAACCAATCAGTTATTTTTCTATTATTCTATCTCCCTGTCCCCACCTTATAAGGACAGCAATGTTGAAACAACCAATATGCTTTTTTTTTTTTTCTTTTGCAGTACAGTTCTGGGGTTTGAACTCAGGGCCTACACCTTAAGCCACTCCACCAGCCCTTTTTTGTGATTTCTTTTTTTTCAAAATAGGAATCTCACAAACTATTTGCCCAGGCAGGCTTCGAACCACAATCCTGTTGATCTCTACCTCCTGAGTAGCTAGGATTAGAGGCATGAGATATCAGTGCCTGCTAATTTGTGAAACTTTTGGTTTTATTGTTTGTTTGTTTTTATGGTGCTGGGGATTGAACCCAAGGCCTTGTCCGTGCTAGGCAAAGGTTCTACCACTGAGCCACATCACTAGTCCCTCTAGCTCTTAATTTGAATCACATGTTTAGTGAAAAGACTGGCTGAGGTTAGTTCCTAACACCAAGGTCACCAACTAATTAATAAACTAGAGCTTCGGACCCTAGGAAAAAAAAAAAAAAAAAAGACAACCAAGGAGAAAAGTCAGCAAGGGAGCTAGCTGTGGTGGTACATACCTGTAGTCCCAGCTACTCAGGATTCTGAGGTAGAAGGATTGCTTGAATCCACAAGTTTGACACTAGCCCAGACAACATAGTAAGACTCCATCTCAAAATAAATAAATAAATAAAAAACAAAAACAAAAAAGAAATAAAAGTGGGCAAGGGATATGAACTTACAAATCAAAGGTACAAAATTAGGATTGGAGATGCAGCCCAGTGACAGAGCACTTACCTAGCATTCCTGGGTCCTGGACTTGATCTTCAGCAACACACACACAATACATCAGTAAATAAATAATAAAATCGAATGAGCTAGGCATACATGCTTATAGTTCCAACTACTCTACAGCTGAGATGGGAGGAGCACTTGCCTCAGGAGTCTTAGACCAGTTGGGCAACATAAGTGTAGGATTTGGACCTGTCTTTTCTGTCAAAGTAGCTTAACCAAACCACTGCTATCTTAAATCAGTAGCCATTTTAGTTTCACAGACTTGAAGTTTCATTTCTTTTTCATATTCCTGAAATGTAAGTAATCATGTCCTCACCAAGCTGTAAAAGTCAGCTCTTCCCCTATCCCAAACAATAGCCAATCAGGAAAAGTTGTGAACCCAAGTGTGGACCAATCCAGGGCCAGAACTGTGTTAGGACTATAATCTGAGGGGACTTCCCATTCAGTGTGCTTGCTCAGACTTATGGTCTGTTGCTGTACCTTCCACAAAAGTAAAACTTTTTGCCTTGCTGAGCAACTCCTATGTGTTTCTTCTATTGCTGTTTGGGAATCCTCAGACCCCAAAGTTTATTTCTAACATAAGGAAATCCTGCATTAAAATTCAAAACAACAACAACATAACATCAAATGTCAGGAAAAAAAATATGACTTCCACTACTCAGGTGGATATAAATTTGTACAACTAACACCATTTTTGCCCAGGATCCTGGTCAAATGTCCACTGATTGCTGCAGTACTTAAAACAGTCAGTTGTGCTTCAGGAAGAAAGCACTTGCATTGGGAATTGTTTCCATATAAATGGTAAAAAGGAGTCAACAAACATGTATAAATATGGAACAAATCTCAAAAATAAGGTGAATGAGAAAAGCGTCAACACATCATCTTCATTATTCTCTCTGTGTGTGTGTGTGTGTGTATCTTGTGTTGAGGATTGAACCCAGAGCCTCACGCATGCTAGGCACAGACTCTACCACTGAGCTATATCCCTGGCCTTGAATTTTTCTTAAAATATCTTTGGTGACTACCAAACCTGAAGTCTGAGATAAGCAAGGTGAGGCAGTGGAAGAAAACTTTTTATGCCAGGTAATATTTCTCTTCTAAATGAATAAGCAGTAAATAAACTGCAAAGGGAAGTATCAGAAAATAAAATTCAACCTATAACAACATTCAGAGTATAGAAGGTACGGTTGCTCTTACAAGAAATTTGACTGTAAATCAGCTATGGGTCCCTGATCTAAAGTGTTGTCTGATTTAATCTCCCTATGTAAGATTAGGCATTTATATCAAATTAGCAGTTGGAGTCCAGATTTATGGGCTCAACTTGGAGCTCAATCTTCAGTATCTTGTCACCTAAACTAGTGCAGTACTATGGATAGAAATGGGATCTTAATCCCTGCCTGGTCTACACCTCTGAAAACTACAGCTCCCACAATGCACTGCAGCAGAGATTGTTACCCAATAGGAAAAGGAAATGGGGAGAGGGTGGGATAGGGAGGGTTCTGTGAAGAAATAAAAATTAGTTATATAGTAGAGTAGAACAGGACTACTACCATGTGGTATATAGCATTCTACTACAGTAGTGTACTGTAGTGTATACTTAGTACAAGTTAATCTCACTGCAGATTTTTTGTCTGTTTTGGTGGGGCTAGAGTTTGAACTCAGAGCTTTGTGCTTGCAAAACAGTCACTCCATCACTAGAGTCACACCTCCAGTCCATTTTGCTCCTTTTGGAGATATGAGTCTCTGGAACTATTCTCCTGGGCTGGCCTCAAACTTTGATCCTCCTGATCTCAGTCTCCCAAGTAGCTAGAATTACAGGTTTGAGCCATCAGTGCCCAGCCTCACTGCAATTTTTATAATTAGCTTTTTTATTTTGCTGTGCTTTGTTTTGATATAGAGTCTTGTGTAGCCCAAACTGGCCTTGAATTCACTATGTGGCCTAGGCTGGTCTTGAACTTGCTGTCTTCCTCCCTCAGCTCACAGAGGCAGTGATCACAGGTATGGCCACCACACCCAGGTATAACTCGCTTTTTTTTTTTTTTTAAACTGTTATTTTATTTTTATTTTTGGTGGTACTGGGGTTTGAACTCAGAGCTTCACACTTGCTAGGCAGGCACTCATAAATAGCATTTTTAAGTTTTAAAAATTAACTTGATTCAACAAATGAAATTATTTTTAAAGGCCAATTATTGGATAGCAGTTAGCCAACAGTGATAGGTATATGCACAGAAAAGTTAAAATGGAGGATTCTTCAAAGGTCTTGAGAGAAAAACACTTTAGGCCATTAGATCATGGGATATCAGGAGTGGCTTTTGAATCTCCCACCCACCCTAAGGTGGGTTGCCATCAAACAAAATCCACGCCTATAAACCATACCCTAGGGGTCAAATGGACCCAATAATTTGTTTCTTGTAAATCTGTTGACCTATCCTAGCCTGGAAAATCTGTAGAACTACCCTAGCCTGGTGACCTTAACTGTGATTTCAGCTTAGTGGACTGGTCCGGGGAGGAAGTCCCTTCCACTTCAATAAAAGCTGTGACAGGCGGGGCTCACGCCTGTAATCCTAGCTACTCAGGAGGCAGAGATCAGAAGGATCACAGTTTGAAGCCTGCCTAGAGCAAATAGTCCATAAGACCCTATCTGGAAAAAACCCATCACAAAAAAAAAGGCGGGGGCCGGGGGGGAGGTGCGGAGAGGATTGGTAGAGTGGCTTAATGGTGAAGATCCTTAGTTCAAACCCCAGTACTGGAAAAACAAAACAAACAAACAAAAAAACTTGTGACAGGATAGAGTTGTCAATCTCTTTCTCACCCTAGAGGCTGTCTGCTTTTAGTCCATTGAAAGTATATTCCTTTTCTAATAAACGTTGAGATAATTTGCACTACATTTTCGCATCTTGCCTGAATTCTCTCAGGGCATGCAAGGAAGAAGGTAGATACCAGCGCTGACTTTCTGGTAACATAGTGACCAAATTGATTGTATGTAATTCAATTCCTTTTAACTTGGAGGGACTGGGGTTTGAACTCAGGGCTTCATGCTTGCAAAGCAAGCACTTTACTGCTTGAGCCATGCCTCCAGTCCAATTCCTTTTAACTTCTTCCATAACCATGCATAATTATACAGCAAATTTTGTACAGTTTATAAAAATACCGATTAACCCCACTGCGGGCAGCTTATTAACAATGTATCTGGAATCTTTTGCAAATTATTTAAAACCAGTAAATGCAACTGTGTATCCCCCAAAACGTCAATGGTATAAACCGAGCCAGGGGCCGGGGCTCAAGTCTGTAATCCTAGCTACTCAGTAGGCAGAGATCAGAAGGATCGCTGTTGGAAGCCAGCGCGGGCGTATGGTTCCACGCTATCTTAGCTCGGAAAAACCCTTCACAAAAATAGGGCTGGTGAAGTGGCTCAAGGTGAGAGTTCAAGCCCCAGTACGGCAAAAACCAACAAACAAAAAACCCCAGCATAAACTGAATGGACATGTGAGGCTGTATCATTTCAGCCCCTGAAGCAATTCGTAACTGCTGTTTCCCATTGCAAAAATGCAACCAAGTGGCCGCTGCGATGCTGCGCGGTGAAAATCAGTGTAGCCATGTGCGGAACGCGTAAGCGAGGACGTTCTGAAAACAAGAAAAAAATCGCTGTTTCGAATTTAATACAGCATATATCCCCATGCTCATTAATGTGAGCATGTATAACGCCTTATGAACCATGTCGTCCCTTGGAAATTCCTCCTTTAGAGTGTGGTTCCTCGTAATACCTCTCTGCAGTGTTCGGCGTATTTTCACAGATAAGCCCCCCCTCCCCCTTTTTGGCCAATCCCTACTGCATGACAAGTAACTTGGACAAATGTGTGACAAGTAGCTTTATTCTTGAAAGGATGTTCTGAACGTCTCTTATATTTTAAGTTCTGGCGCGTTTCGTATATTTTTCTGGAGATATCTACAATTCTCAAATATGTTCAAAGACGTTGGCGACTCCAGAGAGACGACCACCACAAGAAAACCAAGCTCTGTCTCCAGCCACGTGGGTCGCTGTGGCTGTGGCATCCTCCCTCGGCTCGGCCTGGGGCGGTCCTCCAACGTGCAGCGTCCAGCAGGGGTCACTGTGCTAACGCCGCGGTGGCGGCGCGCCCCGCCGGGCCCGCTCTCTCTCGCACGGGCGCCGGCGGAAGGGGCGGGGCAGAGGCAGAGCTGGCCCGGAGGCCTGCGGTCGGCGCGGCCGCGGGGACGAACGCGCGGCCCTGACGTACAGGTAAGTGCGCCCCTACTGGCGTGCCGCGCCCCCGGCCCGCGCCCCTCTCTGTTGCTTCACGGCGCGCACACGTGAACCGCGCTGGCCCGCCCCGCCCACGCCTCTGCCTGGGCTCCTCGTGAGTCCCGAGTCCTGCGGAGTCCCACCAGCCTGGGACGCCCTGGGGCTGTGGGGCTGTCGGAATTGGGCGGGCCGAGTTGTCCGCGTTTTGGCTTGGCAGCTACTGCTGGTCCCAGACGCAGATCTGGAACTCGCCGACGTGGGTGTCCGGTTTCATTGACCTTGGGGATCTGGGAAGGGGCAGGAGAGGAGGCTGACCTTGTCTGGGCCGTCAACTCTGAAGTTCCAGAAGGGAGGGGTTTGGGCTGCGGTAGACTTCAGGGCAGGACCTCCCCATTTTACGGAGCGGTGAGCTGGCTGGAACAGGGACCGATTCCCAGCTCATGCATGTCAAGGACAGCGTTACCTCTGTATCTTCGACCTTGCTGTTCCGATAGTCCTAATTCATGTTTTGTAGCTCTTGTGACAATCTCACCCGAAACCCCTTACACCGCCGCAGGTCTTTTCATATGACTCCTATCAGGTCGCTTTAAGATCTTACTATGACTGCTGTGCTGTCTGAGTCAGGCCCAGACTTTAACGTACAAGGGTCTTGGAGGTCTGGCTCCTAACCCATCCTTGTTCTTTTCTGGGTTCATTCTAATGCAGCGATCCTCCTGGTCTACTTTCATTCCACAATTTGGTGGTGGTGGTGGTGGTAGTTGATTGTTCTTTTGAAACAGGCTATAGCCCGGGCTGGCTTCGAACTCGCTTTCCTCCAGCCTTGTTCTCCCTGAGTGCTGGGATTACAGGCGGCTCAGTCCACAAGTTTTAATTAAGTACTTACTATGTCCCAAGTGTACTCTGGGCACGTCGAATTCAGTGGGGCGGGGGAGGGGGGAAGCATAGGAGTGAAAAGACCTACTCTTGTGGAGTTTCTGTTTTCTGGAAGCCACATGCAAACAAAAAACATTCAGTAAATTATATGACTGCCTATGATAAGTGCTATGGGTGAAAAAAGTAAGGTAAGGGGGAGTGGGAGGGTAAGATGGAATAGAATCAGGCCTCATTGAGGGGGCATTTGAGTTAAGACTTCAGGAAGATGAGGAGTTACCAGGAACCCATGTCTCATGCCTGTAATCCTAGTTAGTCAGGAGGCAGAGATCAGGAGGATTACAGTTCGAAGTCAGCTCCAGCAAAAAATTCAAGAGACCCTGTCTAGAAAAAAACCCACCACAAAAAAGGACTGGTGGAGTGACTCAAGGTGAGATCCAGTACCACAAAAAATAAAAATAAAAAAAGAAACCTTGCAGATAGCTGTTAAGAGTGTTTAGGCCTAGCTAGAACAAAGGCCTCTGGTATGGTTTGAATGTGGTCTGCCAAATTTCTTGTGTTGGAAACTTGGTTCCAAGAGCAGCAGTGTTGAAAGGTGGGACCTTTGTGAAGTGATTGGTTTATGAGGGTTATCTTCTGAGTGGATTAATCCATTCATGGGTGAATGAGCCATCTAGGGAGTGGTTTTAAAAGGTTTGTTATATAAGCAAGCTTTCTCTGGCATGACTCCTCTTTCTCACCATCATGCCCTTTACCGTGTTGTGATGTAGGAAGAAGGCCTTTACCAGGTGCCAGCACCCTGCTCTTGAACTTTCCAACCTTCAGAACCTCTGTTCTTTGTTTTGTTTTGTTTTTGGTGAGCCTGTCTGTTCCAAAGCAGGCACTCAAAAAGTAGGCATTCTGTTTGAGCCACACCTCCAGTCCATTTTGCTCTGCTTATTTTGGAGATAGGGTCTTGTGAACTGTTTGCCTGGTCTGGCCTCCAACCTTGATCCTCCTGAACTCAGCCTCCCAAGTTGCTAGGATTACAGGCTTGAGCCACCGGCATCTGACTCCGTTTGTGCTTTCGTAAGGTTTCAAGGAAAAAAAGGTATGAATTAGTTTTTGTTGTTATTTTGATTTAATTTTTTGAGACAGGATTTCATTAAATGCGCAGGCTAGCCTTGAATTGCCATTCTCCTGCTTCAGCCGTCTGAGTGCTGGAAAAGATCATAGGTGTGTTGTCGGGTCTGGCTCAATGACCTTTTGGAGTTAGAAAATGATAGAGAATGGATTGGGAGAGCATAGACAATGAAAGCCTTTGGGAGTTTTATTGTAAAGAGGAGCAAGAAGTGGTAGCTGCAGGGTGGAATAGTTAAGAGGTTTGGTTTTCAGTCTGCTTATTTGCTTGTTTTTGAATGAGAGAAATAACACGCTGATAGAATGGTCCATTAGAAAGTGAGTTTGCTCTTTCCTGTCATTCAGTTTCAGGCCACCTTTACTATCGGATTGCTTCTTAGACATCCCTGTCTGGGGCTCCAGCTTACAGAGCGTCCAGCCTCCTCCAGACCTACATTCATTTCTGTTCTCTGACAGTCAGTTTACTTACCCACATACCATTTGAATGGCAGGCAGTTCCTTAAGGGCAAGGAAGACTGGTTTTTGCAGAACTGGGGTTTGAACTCAGGGCCTACACCTGGAGCCACTTCACCAGCCCTTTTTTTGTGGTGGGTTTTTCTGAGGTAGAATCTCACAAACTATTTGCCCGGGCTGGCTTTAAGCTGAGATCCTCCTGATCTCTGCCTCCTGAGTAGCTAGGATTATAGGTGTGAGCCACCAGTGCCCAGTAAGTACTGGGTTTTATACCTAGGCCTAACCAGGCACTTGGATATGTAGGCAAATGTGTAACTGTAGGATATATATAATCATGGGTAGTAAGCTCATTTCATTTCTAGAAAATGAATCTGAAGCTATATACTGTTCTTGTATGTGCTCAGCAGGTTGGGGGTGACAGGAATAGGCACAGTTCCTCCTGTTACTGTTCTTAAAATATGTGAGATATAATAGTCCACATGAATTAATTAGAAAGTGATGAAAGAGAGGCAGGCATGGCGGGGCATGTCTAATTCCAGCACTGGGGAGGCTGAGACAGGAGGATCTCAAGTTCAAGGCTCATAGCAAGACCCTATCTCAAAATAAATAAAAGTGACAAAAGACAGTGGTGCAACCTGAGTCTGAAAAAGGGCGTATGGTACAGGGATGGCAGGTGGAGGGTGCAGCTTGTGTGGGGTCTGGAAGAGCAGGTCAGCCAGAAGGATAATGATTTCCAGCACTAGAATCCTGTTTTCTTTTTTTCAAATGGAATACAACAATCCAGTATTCATCAGCACTGATCTGCTTTCCAGTATATTAGTTTTGCACCTTTTTTTTTCTTTTTTTGGTGGGACTGGTGTTTGAACTCAGGTCTTTGCACTTGCCAAGCAGGTACTGTGCTGCTTTAGCCACACCTCCAGTCCAGCACTGCTCTGGTTTAAGAGGAACTGGGGGCCTAGTTGGGCCCTCTTCACCCAGGGCCCTCCTGACCAGTTCTGGGTTCTCAGGCTCCTCCCTTGAGGCCTTGGATGGGCAAATAATCATCATCTTCAGTAAAAACTAGGTTAATGTGTTTCTTCTAATTTATGATTTTTATAGCTAAATGTAGATACAGTATGTGTGTGGGGAGGGGTGGTTCTAGGGTTTGAATTTAGGGCCTCCCACTTGCTAGGCTTGTGCTCTACCACTTGAACCATTCTGCCAGCCCTTTTTTGTGTTGGGTATTTTTTTTCTTTATTCATTTATTCATATGTGCATACATTGTTGGGGCCATTTCTCCTTGTGTTGGGTATTTTTGAGACAGGGTCTTGAGCTATTTGCCTGGGTTGGCTTCAAACTGCAATCTACCTGATCTCTGCCTCCTGAGTAGCTAGGATTACAGGCGCGAGCCGCTGGCGCCCAACATTTTTTTTCATTCTCTTAGAATATGTGTAAATGTAATGTATTGCAACAGTTCTCTTAAAGGTCTTCAGGTAGTTTCTAGTCATTATTTTAGAATACTCTATGAATTTAAAAATTACTTCAAATTATACTTCTGTTGAAAAACAAATAGCCCTTAAGTTGAGCCTGCTTCCTTGCTCATTTAAGGTGGAATAAGAGTTGAGCTTGTGTGTCTGCTCATTTATACCAGGAAAAGAAGGCACTGAAATGTTAACGGAAACTGGAAATAGCTTTGTGTTTTGTGTGAGCCATACTGATAATTGTTATCAGTCCCAAAGTATAATCTTGGCACAGAGGAAAGTCATTTACAGACTCAAAATATCAGATAATTCCTGAATACAAGAGTTAGTCAAGTAAAAAAAAAAAAAAGATGAAGCTATTGACCATGTAAAATCTCATCTCTTATCAAATCATTTCTCTTAAATCATCTTAATGTACTTAGGGAGGTTTGCCACCTTCATAAAATGGCTTCTGCTTCATATAAGGTAACTACAGGAGTCAATTACTCTCTGGCATGTCAGTACCTTAGTGCCTCCGGATATAAAAGGAGGCAAATTGCAGATCTGTTTATATTCTTCATCCTAACTTTTATTTGGTGGTGTTGGAGGTTGACATAAAGTTTAGAGATTCACTTTGGGTTTTAGGAAATATGACCAGCTATCCTTCCTTGGCAGTGTCAATATTGTAAATGTGGGCATGCCATCAACCTTTCTCTCCTGATTTTTCTTTATTTTTTTTGACAAATCATTGAGAATTACTGTTAATTTTTTTTAGTGGCAATCAGTACCAAAAGCTGATTGGGGACAAGGAGAACAGTAGAACCAGTGTTCACACATACTAGCATCTTGTTGGAAGTTCATGACAACACTGTGAGCTGAGCCTGTTAATTGCAGCTAGAAGATGCGGCTTGGTATGGTGTGCAGTCCTCGAACCATGCAGACTGCTAACCTCCTTGCGTTGGAGAGCACAAGTGCACATGTGGATGGTGTATGTTATAAGAATGTCCTGACACCGCACTTGGGAAATAAAGCTGAATCATTATCTCTTTCAGGTTATATGCACCATGGCTATGACTGGTGTCAGATTGTTCACTGGTGTTTTAAGAAAGCCAGATGCCTGCATTGGACTCTGGAGTGTGCTTCAAGAGACACCTTCACACAAACTCTGTGCTTCCTGGAATCGATGCTTGTACTTTTCTAGTACCAAGTTAAATACATCAAATTATAAAACACTTTTCCATAAGATTTTTTCTCTGAGACACCCAGGGCTTTTAATATCTCCAGAATATATTCCACTTTCCGTAAGATTCAAAAGCAATATAAACTCTAAAAAACACACCAACAAAACTCTGCAAAAAGTAGAGGACAAAGAGGACTCGGATGAGGAGGGTGATCATAATGAGAGGAGTGAGCAGGAAGAGGAGCTTGAGGATGACCCTAGTGTGCCCAAAGACTACAAAGACCTGGACAAAGTTGTGCAGTCTTTTCGGTATGATGTTGTCCTGAAGACAGGCCTCGATATTGGGAGAAAGTGAGTATCGTAATGTATTTTATTGTAAACTCACTCGTCATCTGGTTATCTCAGTCAGTATTACACTCAGCCCATATTATGGTGGAGAATAACACAGACATGAAAGACAGCCTATTTCAGTTCTTTCTTTCCTTTTTTTTTTTTTGGTGGTACTGGGGTTTGAACTCAGGGTCTACACTTTAAGCCACTCTACCAGCTCTTTTTTGTGAAGAAGTTTTTCAAGATAGGGTCTCACAAACTTTGCTCACGCTGGCTTTGAACCTTGATTCTCTACCCCCTGAGTAGCTAGGATTACAGGTATGAACCACCAGCATCTGGTGGGACTGGGTTTTGAACTGTTTGCAAAGTAGGCATTCTACATTTTGGTCTGGTTATTTTGGAAATAGGTGTCTTATGAAATATTTGCCAGGCTGGCCTTGAACAACTTCCCAAGTAACTAGAATTATAGGCATGAGCCACTAGCACCCAGCTCAACCACAGTTTTTTTTAGGAGAAAATGAATCACCATATTAGGTGGATATAGTAATTATAAAAAACACCTGGATTTCACAAATACTACAATGTAAGAAGGTACTACCTAGAATTAACTAGAGGAATATAAAGTGGTTAAGAATGCAGGTTCTTTTTTCTTTTTTACAGCACTGGGGTTTGAACTAAGGGCATTGTGCAGGCACTCTTCCACTTGAACCATACCCTTTCCTTTTTAGTTTATTTTTGAGATAGGGTCTCACTAGCTTTGCCCAAGCTGGCTTTGAACTCTTAATCCTCCTGCCACTGCCTTGTTAGTAGCTGGGATTATAAGCATGTACCATCACACCCTGCAAAAATCAAGGTTCTTAAACTTGACATGATGGAACATATCTATAAACCTAGCACTTAGGAAGTTGAGGCAGGAGGATCATGAGTCAGAAGCCAAACTGGGCTACATAGCAAGATCTTGTCTCCAATAAAAAATAAGAATGAAGGCAGGGTCTTGAGCCAGACTACTTGGGTCTCAATCCTGGTTCTGTGTGTAACCCTGAGTTATTTAAATCCTCTGTGCCTCAGTTTCCTCATCTGTAAAATGAGGTTAGTAGAAGCTATTTTAGAAGGTAGTTGCTAGGATTAATGAGTATTTAGAGCACTTGTAACTTCCTGGCATGAAGCAGGTGCTCAATGTATATTAGCCATTGCAAAAAAAATACTGTGTGTTACATGTAATACATAGAAACTTAAGTATAACTTTCAAGATTTCTTTAATATGTTCTTTCTCTCTCTGCTAAACAAATTATCACAGTGACCCTCATTGTTTGTTCATTCCTTTAGCAATCACTGATTGTGTGCATTCTGTATACAAGCTAAAAATTGTGATCTGAATAAATTCAGAAAGATTTCCTTATGTAATTTGTACCTTTATGGTGTGGTTTAATTGCATGATTTAATTTTTTAATCTATGAAACGTAAGAGTCTCATAAAGATGATTCTTAGCTCATTACTCCCCTCCCCCTTGGCCTCCTGATCAGTTTTGTCGGATGATCTCTAAAGTCTGGCAAACTCACAATGGGGCCTCTCCTTTCTCAGCGTAGTAGCTGCTGTTGTTATTAAGCCAAACCCCAGATGTAAGTTACCTGGAGTCATTATCAGAAGGAAAAGGCACTGGTTTTTGTCTGCATCTTTCTCTGGTCTGGTTGTTCAGTGGTTTAAATTCAGAGAGATTAGCAGCTGTCAGGTTGGAATTTCTCCAACCTCAAAGCAGACTGGCCTCACCATATGTGTGGTTGCCTGCATTTTCTCTCAGAATACAGAGCAGGTATCTGCAGGGAAGAAAGTGCCCAATCACTTTGACCATTGTGAATCACCAGCTCCAGCTGCTGCACTGGGAGAGTGGAGCTTGGTCTGCCTGATAAAACATCCACAAAGCCCCATCCAATTAGCTGGCAGAAGTACTGGCAGATATCTGCAGCAGCTCGGCATCTATTCAGGAGTGGCCTTTGGTCACCCTGTTTTAGCTTCATATGGGCAGAGTTGACTTTCACTTTCCCAGCTGCTAACGTGGAGATTTTTTAAGGGAGTCACTGTCAGAATAAATGTTAATGACCAGTGTTTTTCTCAAACGTGTATCATTGTTTCAAATATATTTCTATATTTTAAAAAATACTTTTCCTTCTTTTTTATAATAGCAAAATAGAAGATGCATTCTACAAAGGAGAACTCAGACTGAATGGGGAAAAATTATGGAAGAAAAGCAGAACGGTGAGATTACACTTACCACGACTGCCAGATAATTTTGTCTGTTGCTCTGCCAGTACTCAGTGCTGCCCCAGATTTTCCCTTGGGCTTCTTACTCATGGTGAACAGTGGCTCCTTACCTTCTCTAAGGTCCTCTGTGGCCCTGGTCAGTCTTGTGGGAATCATCAGCAGGCTTCAGTCACACAGGCCACTTTCTCTTTTGCAGCCTTGATGACCTTGTGATGAAGAGGATTTTAGGATAAATCATCATCAGGATTGGCAAAAACCCATTAATTAAACTTTCAGGTTATTAATGTTAGCCCACATGGAATCATAATAATTAGGTTGCAAAGAAACATTTGATCCATGAAGAGATGTTCTTTGGCCTGGTGTTAACTGAGCACATTTGTAACTCCGTTCATTTTGCTCATTTCAGCAATACTCACAAACACTTGCTGGAGGCACTCACTGCTTTATGTGCAGGACAGCTTGCCAAAAGATGTTCTGTGTTTTCTGACAGGTCTACAATACTATTGTTAAGTAAAAGGAGTCACTTATATAAGAAAATGTACTTCCATTGTCCACCTTTGTAACAATAAAACACACACACACACACACACACACACACACACACACACACACACACACACACACACACACACACACACACACACCCCCAGGCAAATAGTTTGTGAGATTCTATCTCAGAAAAACCCATCACAAAAAAAGGGCTGGAGAAGTGGCTTCAGGTGTAAGTCCTGAGTCCAAGCCCTGCAAAAAAAAAAAAAAAGCGTAAGTTACATATAGATGTACATCTGAAATTAAGGTAGCACTATTACTACTGGGATGTTATGAGTAGTATTCATTTTTCATGCCTTTTATTTTCTAAATTTTTACCATGAGTATGTATCACTTGCATAATTGGACAAACAAAAGTCAAGAAAACACAATAACAAGGTGTTAGAAAATCCTTTCAAAATTTGGAAACAAAACCTATGAGACATAAGACATAACCTCTTAATGTTGAGGGAACTAATGTTCCAGAGAAGTTAAACACACTTTTTGAGGTGGTTTTTGTTGCTTCTTTCATATTTTAAAACCCCTTTGGAGTTGGAGGGCCTGAGCTACCTCCTGTGCATCAAGGTGAGCACTGAGACTTCCCTCGGTCCTTTCTCCCTGATCAGAAGAAGGAAAACTCCCCATGCTCGGCTCAGTCCCCCAGTCACAAGGTCTAAGATCCTCTGACAGTCCTGGAGCTGGCAGGTTAAGATGGGCCTATCAGCCATTGTTCAGAGAGCTGCATAAAACCAGGCACTCCAGATAGGCTCTTTTCTGCCTTAATCTCTTTGTCCTGGCTATAGCCTGGCCCTCGTCTTAGCCACAGTATTCCAAAGGCAAGACCTGTTCTTGGAATAAGGAAAATGATTGCTCCCTGAACACCCTGCCTCTCTTCTGGGACCTCATTTATAAACCCACAAGCCTATTTTTCCCCCTGCTTTGAGATATTGTTAACTACAGCCTAATTGCTGCTGCTTCATTCTGCCTTAGGTGTTCTGTTGTCTCGGCTGCCTTCCAGAATTCTCTTGAGGGTCAGCAAAGGCAGAGGCCAGTTAACACTCAGCTGCCTTGTTACTAGGAGGCCTGGTAGCCATAGAAACTGCAGCTAAGGGAAGATTTGAAATGTAGATATTTGGAACAGCCTAATCCCAGCCAGTTTTGCTTTGTGTCTGCTAAAGGACAGTGTCTCTGAGGGGAATAAAGAATGCCTCGCCTTCCTTAGCCTGCTCCATGGAGCCTGTGTCTGACCGCTGGCCCTGAGGGGTCAGGCACTTGTCTGATGCTGCAGCTCCAGCCGTGGCTGCCTGTAGTGGAGCAAAGCTTTACTGTGCTCTGCAACCAGGTGGGGTCCAGAGTGCCATAGGTGCTGGATAACTGTGGGTGTGAGGAGCCCAAGTATAGGAATTGATGCCTTCCTAAACTCATCTCTGCCCTAGAAGGAAGCCCCCAAAGGGATGCGCTGCACACTAACTGCTCTTGAGTCAAGCACAGTGTGTCTATGAAAGGATACCCAAAAAGGGTTCTCTTTTCTAAATTTCGTGTGGCATGCATACATTACCTATTAGAAATGAACTTTAATGAAATAAAGTTATGCCAAAAAAGGTAAAGCAGTTTCCAAGCTTTATATTTCTGTTTTCATCTTTTTAAAGACAGTCTCACCATGTAGCCCAGGCTGGCCTTAAACTCATGATCCTCCTGACTTAGCCTCCAAGTGCTGGTATTACAGGGGTGAATCACTGTGCCTGGCCAGCCTTCTATTTCTGTACAATGATATTTCAATTGTCTACACAGGCTAATTTGGTCTCTTTTTCTTTTTTTTCAATTGAACCCAGCAGAACTGCAGGATGGCAGCACCCTCCAGATAGTGCCTGTGTGGGCCCATTTTTCACACTTCAGAGGAGAAGCAGTCTTTTTTTTGGTACTTGGGATTGAACTCAGAGCCTACACCTTAAGCTACTCCACCAGCCCTATTTTTGTGAAGGGTTTTTTGAGATAGGGTCTCATGGAACTATTTGCCTGGGCTGGCTTAGAACCTCGATACTCTGGTCTCTGCCTCCTTAGTAGCTAGGATTACAGGCATGAGCCACCAGCACCCAGCCAAGAGAAGCAGTCTTGATGTCTAGATATAATTTGAACTTTTTGTTTATTTGCTTGTTTCTCAGACCAGAGGAAAGGAAGTTAATGGTTTAAAATTTAGGGCTGGCAAAGTAGCTTAAGTGGTAGAGCATCTGCCTAGCAAGTGTGAGGCCCTGAGTTCAAACCTCAGTGCTGCCAAACAAAAAGCGTTAAAAAGTCTGCCCCTGCATGAATTTTACATCTAGCTACTATGGGCCTCCTGGACTGACCAATGTAGTATTGTACTAGCAGGTATGATGCGCACATAACGAGTGATTTATTGGGCCTGCAGAGGGCTTGAGTGGGTGGGAGAGCAGATCTGGGCAGGAGGGCAGATAGATATGGGCTTGCCTTGTTGAGGTACAATATTTTGATAGTTGTAGTTATCTGCCTTAGAGAACATAATTGGGAAATAAGGGTGAGGCCAGTATTTGACACCATGCTTCTTAAACTGAAGCCCTGCAGAAGGCTTTTGAATGATTATTGTGTCCACCTATAATTGTGGCATTGCCCCTGGCCCCACCATTGGAAGCAGTTGGGAGGTAGCCCCCAGTCACTGTGGCTTGTTTTAGTAAAACATGTGGCACCTAGGTCTGTTTAGCCCCTGTTTGAGTCTCTAGGAAAAGATCCCCTGAGATACTTAGCTGCTTGGTCCAGATGTCTGTCACAGCCCCACATCCTGACCTGAGTCTTTGGCCTTGGGCCTTAGAGCTGACATGACTGCTCCAGGGGATGCCTTGACTAGCTCAACCCACAACTTCCTTCTAGGCAAGAGTGGCTTTGACCTCAGCTCATGTAACCCACTGATTCAGCATCCAGCTCTACCTGGGTTGTTTGTTTGTTTGAGACGGGGTCTTACTGTGCAGCCCAGGCTGGCCTCAAACTCACCATCCTCCTGCTGCAGCCTTTTGAGTGCTGGCATTACATGCATGAAATACCACACCCAGCTTCAATTCTTCTGTACATTCCACATTTATGAATTGAGGCTTGTCTCTTTTTGATTGTGTGACTTCATTGGGACCAAAGGCAGTTTCTTTACTTCCATTTCTCTGCAGCTGACTACTGTTCTCCAGTGACTAATTTCCAACAAACTGTCCCATCCCCTTTTGTGTATGTCATCTAGGTTAAAAATCAGTGAGAGTGTTGCATGGGAAATTGTCTTCCGAGTGCATGTAGTAATTACTTTGGACGTACTCTCTAAGCCTGTGCATTACTTTGTGTTTTGCCAGTGTTCCAAAAACAAATGTATTCAGATATTTCCTTAAATTGTCCAATTGATATATTTGAGCGGTCCTACACAGACCATCTACAAGCAGCCAGGTGTCTGTCTGAAGAAAGGACAGTAGCTGGGATTGAGTGCCTTGTGCTCAAGGTACCTCCCTGTGAGGCCCTTTCAGGAGGAAACACCAGGGTAAGGAATGGTTTCAGAGTTGTTTGGGACTTCCTCTCCTGTTCCCCCTGCATGACAGTCTCCAGATTAAAACTCAAAGCACAGATATTTGAATTGACCTGAGTTTCCCAAAATGTCATATTGTCTCCATTTTTTGTTTTTTTTTTCAGGTGAAAGTGGGAGATACTTTGGATCTTCTCATTGGAGAGGACACAGAAGCAGAAACACAGGCTGTGATGCGGGTTCTCCTGAAAAAAGTCTTTGAAGAAAAGACTGAAAATGAAAAATACCGTGTGGTGTTACGGCGGTGGAAGAAGTTAAAGTTGCCTAAAAAGAGTATGTCTAAATAAATGAGTTGCTTTTTATCCAGGAAGCTGCTTTCTAGTGATGGGGGGAGGAGCCAATACAAAGAGGACATTTTTACTAAAATAAAGTACTCTTACCATTTGTGGAATCAGCTGAGCATTTTGTGAAAACTGGGGTCGATATCTGGAGACCCTTCCTGGCTGCAGTTCCCCTCCAGTGCAGGATCTGGGCTCCTTTTGACCTAACCAGCCTGGGAACCCCTCAGAGAGACGCGTTGCTGGACGAACTAAGCCCAGAGAAGGTTCTATGGATTTGCCTACTGTTTCCCATATTAACTACCTCAGGAGTCTCTTTAAAATAAACTGGCCTAATTGCTTCTTTGTGTTTTTATTTGAATTTTTTCCCTTTGTGGGGACCAGCCTCCTCAGTGCAGGCTTCTTAGGGCAAAACCAAACAAAGTCAAGGTCACCCTTTGGATTATTGAAAGGGAAGCTCTGAGAGAGCCCTTTTTTCCTCCACCTGCCTGAGAGTCACCAACATGCTGACCTTAGTTCTCTTCACGTTGTTGTCAGAAGTCTAGTCCAGTAAAGTCATTCCAGCTAATTCCATCTGGGCTTGTTAGAGCGGATTTACAATCATTTGTTTAGAGCAGGAGTCGAAAAACTAAGGCAGCCAGAGGCTTGCTTTTGAGTAGTCCTCAAGCTAAGAATGTTTTTACCATTTCTGAAGTGTTCTTTAAAAAAAAAAAAATATAGGCATACACAGCAGAGACTGTGTATGTGGCCCACAAAGGCAAAATTACTTACTGTCTAACCCTTCACAGAGAAAGCTTAACTGCTGGTTTAAGGTAATAAGCACAGGGTTTAATTTTAAGGTGGAAGTGGGAGAGACACAGATTTTATCAAGAGAATAACGAGTCAAAACAGACCAATTATTATAAATCCCAAGAAAGTGTCATAAAAGCAACCAAACCTAATAAAATAAAATAGTATTGAATACGAAACTGCATGCGTGTGCGCGCACACACACACACACACACGCACGCACACACACACACACACACACACACACACACACCTCCTCTCATAGGGGCGTTTGCACAAATAAGTTGGTCTCAGGATCCCTGGAGCCATTGCCAGCACTTCCAAGGGCAGCTCCAAGAGAAGACTTGTTAGATTGTCAGACACTGGCTGTGTCTGGGCTCTTTTATTTGCCCTCCAGGAATAAGAATCGAGGTAGCCTGATAGGGAAGGGAAATTTCCTAAAACCCAAAGCAGCCAATGTTGAGGCCCACGAGGCAGAATCTCACCAGCTTGTTTTTCAGAAGACTAAGGAAAATTGATTTCTATTTGAAAACTTAAGTTCTCAGGACGAGATAATAAGTAAATAAGTATTTTGCAGTATAATGGAATTTTTCTATTTTGCCACTTGTTTTATTGGCTTTACTGAGTCATCAGTAAAAAATAGTATGTTTAATTTCTATTAGTCACAAATATACTAATTTAGGAGATTGTATCTTTCTTTTTTTTTTTTGACAGTACTGGGCTTGAATTCAGGGCCTCACATTTGCCAAGCAGGCACTCTACCACTTCAGCCACTCTGCACCCCTTTTTTGTGTGGGGTATTTTCGAGATAGGATCTTGAGAACTGTTTTCCCAGGCCAGCCTCAAGTCCCAGTCCTCCGTATCTCTGCCTTCCAAGAAATCCTGGATGGTGAGAGGCAGCCCAACTCGGTGGCATGTTGGCATCTGGGCGCTCAGGCTCCTGCTGTTAGCAAGTGGCTTAGCTGAGCCACAGCTTCACTTTGACCTTTCTGAGTCTCGCTGTCCTCAATGGCAAATGGGGATCAGAACATTGAATGCATTGCCTTGTGTCTCAGAGGAGGAAATCAGAACCGTTATACAAGGGAAGAGGATCAGGAAGAACTTTTTCTAAGGGGGTGGGAGTTTGAGACAGTCTCACTATACAGCCCAGGCTGGCCTCAAACTTACAACCCTCCTACCTTAGTCTCCCAAGTGCTTATAGGCATATATCACCGTGTCTGGCTCAGAAACAGCCATTTGAAAGGCTGCAGCTCTGGGTAATTAGTACCTCAGTGTAGCTACTTGGCAGGTTTGACCCATTCCCAACTTCTGTTTTTAAAAATCAGACTAAGCAAAGGACATGTGATGACAGAGAATGTTGGTTTGGTTACTGCATGCGGTTAAAAAACAAAAAAAACCCTGATGTCTCATAGTTGTCTGCAGTGCAAGGGACTTATTTATGAAACTAACAGAAACATGGGAGCAATTCATAAAGATTTGCGGAACTTACAACTCACTCATTACTGGATCCAAATGGTAGGTGCTTTTTAATGTGGTCCTGCAAGGCCTCCTTAGTGAAAATGTGACCAACATAATGAAATGACTAAAGAAAACATTTGGGAATCCTCTAAAACCGTTGCTCTCCACTGGGGATGATTTTGCACCTCCTGGGGGTGTTTGGCGATACCTGGAGGTATTTCGGTTGTCCTGATGGACAGGTTGCTCAGGCATCAAGGGGTAGAGCCTGGGGATGAAGCTGAACAGCCTGTATGTATAGATGGCCCCACAACAGAGGTGAGCCAACTGAGTGTCGGTGCTGACAGTGAGGATCCCTCATCCAAGGACGAAGAGGAATGGCTTTTGTTTTTGTTTGGTTTAAGTACATAGTTCTTCCCCAGGAAAGTCTGAAAGTACTTCTGGTATGTGACTGCAGTTTTTAAAAGAATGTACAATTTTAAGGTTGTAACTTTTGGAAGAGGCCCTTTTACTAATGATAGTAATCCTTTCAAAAAAAAAAAATCTGTCCTGGGAAACAAGATGCTAATTGCAATTCCCTTCCAGTAGCTTCACATAGATGGTAGGCAATTGTTCTGTTAGCTTTTTTTTTTTTTTTGGTGGTTCTGGGATTTGAACTCAGGGCCATATGCTTGTTAGGCAGGTGCTATACTGCTTGAGCCACTTCCCCAGCCCCTTTTTAAGCATCTTTAGAGGGAAAACAAACATTTGGGGGACCTTTTTGTTTATTTGTTTTGAGACACGGTCTCACTGTGTGTTTCAGACTGCCCTGGAACTCATGATTCTCCTGCCTCAGCCTCTGGAGTGCTGGAATTACCGATGTGTGCCACCATGGCCATCCTGGAAGGGAGGAATAAGCCTTAAGTTATGATTTATTTGGCCAATAATAGCTGGGGAGACAGAAATAGAACTATTACTTAGGAAGGTAGAAGAAGACATTTCATTGGGATGGTATACTACTCCACAAGCCTTAAAGGGTGTGCAGTGCATAGAAATAAAATGGTACTCTGCTAAAACCCTGTCTACCTTTGTGCTGGAAATTTTGGCTTTCAAAAGCTACTGAGTTCAGACTCTAGTACTGCCAAAAATAAGAAAAATGAAAGAAAATTACCAGTCTACAAGCTGATGAGGCTGTCCAGGGAGCAGTGAAGGAAATGAGCTCCCTTGAGCGCACTCAGGAGAGTGTGGGCATCTCCCGAACTCTGCATTCAGTGAGTCAGCAGATAGCTTGACATCAGCCGTGGAGCATTTTCACCTTGGGAATCCTCAAACACTACGTATCCGGTTTCTCTCTCCCCTTGGAAAAGCAATTGTGAAACACTTACCAACACTAATGAGGGTTCTTCCATGAAACACCTTGGCACCAGTGTCTACTCTCCCAGCTCTTGTTGAGTTTTTTCTTTTTGCCTGCTTTGTTGATACGGTTTTCCACATATCTTCATCTCTTACTTGTGCAATCATCTTACTATGTTTAATGTGTATCTTTTTGTTTGCATCTTTGGAAATGTGTTTTGCTGTTCTTTGTACATATATTTTAACTTGTGTGCATTATTAAATATTTCATTTTGTGTCTTCCTTCTTCCACTCAGTGGTTTTTAAGGTCCGTCCATGGTACCTCAGATGCATCTTACTGCTGCCACAGAGCACAGCACATTGCTTTTTACTGTAGATATGCTTTCAAACATCTTTAAGGGGGCTCCACACTTACATCGACAGAGGCTGTCAGAGGATTTCTGGCAGACACACAGGACTCTCCTAGGAACACGGTACCAGACTGTACCCATGTTCCCTTCACCCCAGATAACACGGTGCTTGCTTGCTGGCCAGAATGGCTGCATTGGCTGCCTTCCCAGCAGCAGCACAAAGTGCCCGTAGACCATCACCTTCTGCAACCCTTGTATTGTCCAGCTTTCTCACTCTTGACGGTGTACTGTAGGTGTAAAGACATTATTTTAGTTTGCACTCTTCCTTTCTTATACAACAAGCCCTCCCAGCCTTTTGTGTGTGTGTGGTACTGAGGTTTCAACTCAGGGCCTCGTGCTTGCTAGGCAGGTGCTCTAACAAACACTTCAGCCGCTTTGCCAGCCCCATCCCAACTGCTACCACCTAGTCTATCACTTGGGATTTTTCAACGGGCTCTGAAATAGGATGCAGCTTCTGAGACCACCACTTTGTTCCTTTCAAGTCATACTTGCTAGCCCTTGTTTGTTTTAAAGTTCTTTTTCTGTGTGTGATACTGGGGTTTGAACTCAAGGCCTTGTGCTTGCTAGGCAGGTGCTCTGTCATTTGAGTCACACACCCAGTCTGTTCATTGTTCGTTAGCAGATTGGGGACATACATCAAAAGCAGGTGGTCCTGAGGATACGGGTTCCAGTGTACTTCTTGATTCCATTGTGGAGATAACAACTGCACTCAGAGGACTGGGACTTGAGTGTTACTGTTTTTGAGACAGGGTCTTGCTATGTATTCTGGGTTGGGCTTCTGTTGCCCCCAACCTGGGATTACAGGTATGTGCCACAACGCCCAGCCTGGAGTTTGGGCAGTACTGGGGATTAACCTCACACTTGCTAGGCAGGTGCTCTTATCACTTGAGCCATGCCCCTAGTCCTGAAACGTTAGTCTGGTTTGTTTTTTTTTTTTTGCAATTGGGATTTGAGCTCAGGGCTTCACACATGTAAAGCAGGTACTCAGAGTAGGTGCTCTACAGCTTGAGTCACACCTCCAGTCCATTTTGCTCTGGTTATTTTGGAGATGGGATCTCATGAACTATTTGCCCAGGCTGGCCCCAAACCATGATCTTCCCAATCTCAGCCTCCCAAGTAGTTAGGATTCCAGGCATGAGCCACTGGAACCTGGCTGAGGGACTTCATTCTTAAAGCTGGTGAGACCTTCCCCAAGACAAAGTGAAGACCCCAAATTGCAGCCAGAACAGATAACACCTGTCTAAAACAGGTACTGTTTGTTTGGAGGTCATTTCCAAAGCCACACTCAGAGGAGGCACTATTTATGAGACACTTCTTTGCAGAACATATAAAAACTTCTGAGATAGCGAAAACAAAGGTGAGGCCGAAATGGTAGCCAGCTTTGAATTCCAGCTACACAAATGGTATTAACTACCTGAAGAAAAGGCACTTGTTTCCCATGGGCCCTTGCATATGCCCTCTGCATGGAACTGTGCCCCTGCTAAGAGTCCAGCTTATCAAAACCAAGGAGTTGAACTTCTATCAGAAATAAACTAAATGCCAGAAAGACCAAGGCTCACAGTCAGCACTCACAAGGTCTTGCGAGAACCAAGAGAATCAGGAAAGTTGCAGAACTGCAGGTGTGCCTCAGGCCTGAGCCTAGTCTGACTCCATCTGCAAGGGCCTCTCAGCACGTCACACTGAATCCAGGACCCCAATCTGGTTATACTCACTACATCTTGAGAATCAGCTTCAGGCAAGAAATGGCACGGTCTGTGCTGTTTGCTATGAGAACCTTCTCTCCTAGTTCAAATGGGCTTCTTTACTATCAGCTCAGGAAGCTGGACTTCTTAAAATTATGGAGCACTGCCCAGGAGATTGCTGGCCCCCCAAGTATGAGCCTTCCTTGGAGGCAGAGATGGTTCTCACTGCATTCCTTTTTCTATTTTCTGCCCTACTGAAAGGT